TCCTGTACCAATTTCATTGCATTATCTCAATTGGCTTTGTTCTGTCCTGTGCTGTTGCATTTTTCCTACTTTCAAAATAAAATTAAAAATAGAATAAAACAGTAGTGTCACTCATGTAGTCTAGACAATATCATTGGTGTTCTTAATAGAGCTAAGTTCATTCATCTAACTGGAACTTTAATTATTGTGCTTCTTGAAAACAGATGCTAGTACTGTACATAGAAGATAATCCTTAGAGAGTTTTCACAGATATGGAAAAATATCCCACGTGACACTCACCGGGGTCCCAGACCAAGAGTAACAGTGGAGGAGAGCCAAGGATTGCATGGTGCTGACCAGGTCCTCCCTGATGCAGGGTTCCCCTGCAATCTGCCTCAGAAAATGATATGGGCTCTGAACAGTAGTGGGGGTTTTGAAGAGTACACACAGCAACAGAGGCTGGATGGGCTGAGCTTGCAGCTGCAGAAACGCTGGGCTCTTCTTGTTCACGCTTGAGCAAGCTATGCCCAGGTGGTCAGGACAGAAGACTGTTGGCTCAGTCTGAGCATAGCGTTTTCATCTGTAGTCAGAAAACTTGATCCTGGTTCTTTTCTGTCTTAACAGACGTCTCAGGCAGATGGTCATCAATACAAATTCATAAGAAGATCAAATCCTACAGAGACATTGTTTCTCTCAACCTCTTATGTGTCTCATCCTCTCCCTAGTTGCATAATTATATCTGGCTGAAATAACTCTTTGAGTGAAATTGGTCTTCCAAATATTTTTTTTTTCTTTCCAGTTTTATGACCTTTCCCAAAGGTCCCTAATGCAGAATTTACAAAGTGCGACATTCACTTAGGCTCAGTAGTATAGGTTGGTGAAAAACTGCAACTTCGCAGATGCCCAGCACTGCCTCTCTCTGCAATTCACTGATTCCACTTCACTAAAATCAGAAATAGAATTTTGTGTGCAGGCCAAGATCTAGTCCTTGGATGATTTTCTACATCATTCTGTTACAATGCATCAACCAACCCAATCCCTGGCTCTTTCGCCTTAACAATCTTGGAAAACTCAGTTTCCACTCTTTGTTAAGGTCTCTAGAACCATCTTATTCTCAAATAAAATACTGAGAATTTTATCTTTCAGAGGGGAGGAAAATGTATGCCCTCTTATATCACTTTTATTCAGAATTATGCTGAAGATGCTAGGAATATAATAAGACTAGACAGAGTATTAAAATTCGTAAGTTGAAAGAAACAAAGGATAGCTTCTCATACTTCCAGCAAAAATTTTTAAGTAAATTCTGAGACTGTATCAAAAATCACTAGAAAAATAAGTACATAAAATCTCTGGGTTCAGACAGTTAATTAGCTCAGTGGCACAAGCAGTTGCCTGGCAAGCAGTGAGGTCATGAGTTCAATTCCCGGTACCAAAAAAAAAAGAACAAAAAACAAAAAACAAAAAAAAACAAAAAAAACACTGTGCACTCAATGCTAATACACTCACTATGTCTTATAGGTTAAAAATATTTAGATAAATAGGCACTTTTCCATCTTCAAGTAGAAAACTTGATGTTATTAAAGTTCAGTTTTTTTCAAATAGTATATATTTACACACAAATGAATTTCATGCAATGAACTCTAGTCAATCTACAAATAATTTATTTAAAAGGTTGGACAATTTCTATAATGTACCAGAAATACCAAAGGATAGTTACATACCAGAAATACCTTAGGATAGACACAAAAATTTTGAGGAATTAAAGCAGAATATGACTGAAATTATATTTTGAGACGTTTATAGGAAATGGTGATGTAGCTCAAAAGTAGTACATTTGTTTAGTGTGCTTACGGGCCTTGGTTTGATCTCCAGCATTTACAAAGAATACAGGCAATTATCAGAGAATGTCCGTGCTGCGCACCATAGGAACAAAGATAAATAAACAGACCAAGCAAAAAGAAGAGTGCAGAGAACAGATCCACATACGCACAGGCTTTCTGACAAGGATAATGCAGATAATCATAGCTGTAAGTTTCTTTATTTTCAGTAAATGGTGAGGAGGAACTCGAATTGAAAATGAAATTAAGTATGTATTGGAAACATATTTACCTACATCATATCCAATAAAACTAAGAATTAATTGACTACAGTATCCAGATATGAGTTGGGAAGCTTTGGGAGAAAGCAAAAAAGTCTAACCTAAAGCTGTAAAAGAAGGAAATCTTTTAAACAGAACACAAACATGTGCACAAACTCACAGGAGAGAAAACTAATAAATTAAACTTCACTGAAAGTTATGAAAGAAATTAGTTTATTCAGTAATAAACGAAAAGGTGACACGAGTTCTTGGATTGGCAGGACTAGTGCTGCTACAATGTTCCCACTGTCCAAAGTGAATGATTAGTGCAATCTCTATCAAAATTACACTGGGAAATTTCCACTGGAATAACAAATGGTCCTAGCACACACTGCCCTGCCGTTCTTTATAAACAATTTCCACTTTACCACATGGACTTTTAAACTCAGGTCTATCAGATGTTACTATAATTTAAATTCATCCTTCTTTAGAATTTCATATGAAAACAAATTATGGAGTTTCTATTTCCTAGGCGCTTCCTACTTTTATACAACAAGGGTCTTTTGTTTGGTTGTTTGTTCTGTTTTTTTTTTTTTGTTTTTGTTTTTGTTTTGTTTTTAGGTCAATTCATATTGCCCATGTACCAATACCATGATCCTCTTTGTTTCTGAGGATTACTGAATTCATGGTGATATAGTTTGAACTGCTTCATGTGCTGAAGATGACTTATATAGGTTTTATAGCAGGCTATTATGAATGAAGCTGTTTTCTAATGTCTTACACAAGGTGTTGAGTGAACAGGTGTCTTTAAGCACATGAGCCAAAGGCTTGAATCTTCTGCTGTTGGGTGTGACACTATGAAAATAAGTTTTTAAGACTCTGCCTACCTCTTCTTCTAGGAAGTCATGTGGTCTTCATTTCCATCAAGAACTAATGTGCCTTTTAGATGCTCATATTACTTGATTTTTTAAAAAAAATTTATTTAGTTCATACCCAGTAGAACCAGATGAGGTAGAAGTATTTAAGGCATTTGTGAATTACCATTTTTCCATGTTTGGCATATTTTAGAAGACTGAGAGCTAATCTTAATTAATGCATCCTGCAGAAAAGGCAAAAATTAATCTATAAACAATTGTTGAGTAGGGACAAAAGAAAGCATCCTGTCCATGGGGTGAGGAAGGAGGGAACATGTCACAGTGAAAATGCTTGCTACTTCTGTATCTGAGATTTTTCAGGGCAAAAAAAATAGTCTGAACCTTGAAGATTTTTACCTACAATAGTTGCAAACTCCTCTGCTGTTGGCATCTTGATTGGAAAAATAGAAAACATACTACTGGTACTATGTTTACCATGCCACACCCTACTGTCTTCCTAAGAGTTACCTCTATTGTTTACCTGGTGACAAAATGCTGTGTTTATGGAAGGTGTTCAAATATCACAGCCTAAAAATGACATTTAAAAATGTAAAGATATGGGGGCTGGTGATTTAGCTAAGTGGCAGAAGCGCCTGCCTTGCAAGCAGGAAGTTGTGAGTTTGATCCCCGGTACTGATAAAAAGGAAAAAGACAAAAAAAAAAAAAAAGTAAAGATATGGACAAGAGCTAATCATTTTTCAGTGAGAAATGAAACCAACTCTTTTCTTAATTTCTTAGGAAACAGATCAACACAAGCGAAGCATCTTCTAGACTTATAGAGAAAGACCCTGATCTAGGTTCTGTGAAACAGTGAATGAATCTGCATGATATAGAAAAAGAACAGAGAGAGTCCCAGTGCTCCACCTCTGAGTCCAATTGACTGTATGGGCATCAGAATTTACATAAACGGTGTATCAATAAAACTGTTTTGAAAGAAAAAGGAATTTACCAATTCCTCTACATGCTTTCAAATTACAATAGACTCTTAACATTCAATACAAGCAATCTATACCTTTCTTGTGACCTCTGACATACAATCACTACTATGAAAACACCATTGTGTTGTATGGTAGAGGTTTTAAGGCCTTTACGAACCCTGAAAATTTGTGATAAAAATAGTTGCTATAAAGGCAGTCTTGGTGGTAGCAAAATGTATTGTTATTTTTTATTTCCATATAGCATATCAGTATAATTTAAGATTAGTTTTTTAAAAATCCCAAGATTTTTTTCTGCCAAAAAAGGAACAATTATAGGCATGACTGTAGGAAATACGCGACTGACTAACAGAAAATATTGGACAAAGAAGATGCACAATAGAAGTCAGGGGTATTTAGGGCAGTGGAAAAGCACTGGGTCATATGAAAATATTGGACATAAAGCATTATACCTGTGTTTTCTGATGAAATGATCAAAATCAAGTTCAGCTTTCCTGTGAATTATGGACATTTTATTTAGATTAGTCTTGATTTATTTTTTGAAAAATTGCAGTCACTTATGATGATAATATACTATGTAAATATAGGAACAGGGGTACAAAAGACACCTTTGTACTTTTATTCCTTAGATGATACATTTCTAAATTAGGATACTAAGAGCATTACAGTAGCAACTGATGATTTCCTATAATCTTGTTTGAAGTCTTGTATACATGTACCTTATTTTGTTGTGATTAGCTTTAATCTTCTGTCCAGTCTGCATTTTGTTTTGTTTTAAACTTACAAAAATAGTAATACAGAAATTAATGTCTACAAGTGACAAAAAATCTTTAAAAATTATTGCCTGGCATCCATAACAGAGTTTCTTTATTGCCATTTCAATATAAAGTAATGATCTAATCCACATTAGTCCAGTGAATTCAATGGTTCCATTCCTTAAATCAAGTTTGAGAAACACAAAAGAAAGCTAGGGTAGAGAGAAGCTTCCTTAGATGATTCTACCAAATCCTTCCAGTGACCCTCAAAGCCTGGCTGCATCTGAGGAACCAGCTCTGCAGCTGGAGTCACAAAGAGGAGCACTTGCCCCACACTTCTCCTTCACTGGGAGGTTTATGTCATGGCTTGTATCACTGTGGGAGGGGCACTGTAATCCTGTTGACAGTAGTAAGTTGCAAAGTCTTCAGGCTGCAGGCTGCTGATGGTGAGAGTGAAATCTGTCCCAGATCCACTGCCACTGACTCTTGTTGGGACTCCAGATTGCAAATTGGTTGCAGCATAGATCAGGGGTTTAGGAGCCTGCCTTGGTTTCTGCTGATACCAGTGTAAGTTATTGCTAATATCCTGACTGGCCCTGCAACTGATGGTGACTGTGTCTCCCACAGATGCAGCTCTGGATGGAGGCTGTATTAACTGGATGTCACATCTGGCACCTGAAGTGGGAAACAACAAATATCAATACAATTATTTATGGTAAAACAGAACTTCAATGTATTGTCAGTCTATGGTGAACAAACCACTGAGTAAATTCCTGGTGTCCCCATTCCTTACCTGGGACCCAGAGCAGCAAGAGCCCCAGAAATTGAGTGTGGACCCTCATGTCCATGCTGTGGCCTGACTGGGACTGAACCTGCACAGGGTGAGACCAGCAGCCTATTAAGAAGTCCTCAAGGAGCTGGCTGGGCTCTGCGGATATGCAAATCAGCAGAGGAAGAAAGGGTTTGGCCCAGGGGCTGGGGATTTAGCTCAGCAGCATAAGTGCCTGCCTTGTAAAGTAGACAGTGGTGAATTCAATCCCAGTACGAACAAAAAGGAAAAAAGACCAAAAAAAAAAAAAAAAAAAAAAAAAAAAAAAAAAAAAGGGGGGGATTTGGCCCAGCTGCAGGGCTGGCCCAACTCAGTGTGGACTCAGTGTCTCCTCAGTGTTTCCTGGGGTCCCTGTCCACACCAGGACAGATTTGCCTGAAGACAATGTGTTTCTCTCTTCGGTCACAGGACACTGTCAGACTGTTCTCCTGTGAGTAGAGTGAACTGTTGTTCTCACCTTTCAGAGCACAGTTTACTAGAGGGTCAGGTTCCCATGTTATGATCCATTTGAAAAGAAGGAATTAAGGGAACCAAAGGGGCTCTTTCAAGCTTAGAGTCTATAAGGGGAAGCAATGAGAAGAAGAGAACCCCAATTGGATGAGCTCTTTGAATTCCAGGCAGGGGAGGACATGAGCAATGCTGCTGTCCAGCCCCAGGCTTCCCCCGAGCACAGACTTGAGCACATGTTTCCACCCCACGGCAATTCTAAGGTCCAGCAAGTTTCCTGCTGTCAATTTTCTTTGCAGGATAAGTTAGAAAGATTTCAGTCACAATGCAAGAATCAGCACATACTTAAAGTTGTAAACAGAACTCTGGGTTTCAGAATGTTTGGGAGTGGTACAGCAGGTTGGATACATTAGAAAGGACTCAAATTGTTTCCTCCTGCTGTGGGAATCTCAACACAAGTAAGTTTCAAGCCTGAGCCTAAGGCCTCCTGATCTCCAGAGGGCTGTATTGTGACTGTGCCTTAAGTAGCCTCACAACTGCTTCTGGAAGAAATCCAGACAGAGCTTTTAACCTCACCCTCCCATTTGAGGTGTAACAAAATCTTTCCCTGTACCTGACCACCTTCCTTGTTCCTCTTATGTCTCACTCCTGAGGTGGGCACATGAGCCTGGGAATCCCTATTCCTGCCCAGGCTGGAAAAGGCTCATCTGCATTTGCCCTGCACAGCAGGTCACAGCTGCTGGTGAACAAACTAAAGCAACCAGCGATGACTGCAATGAATGTGTTAAATTTTTAATAGGCCTTTAGAAAATGAAAAACTCTGTACTTCTAACTTATATTGCATGGAGAATGGCAATCCAAAAATAAACTTGGGGTCTTGTGTTATAAATGAGCAGGCCTCTAGGATCACAAGAAGAAAAGTCCTCCTTATTCAAGTGCTAGGGTGGCTTCAGGAATTAAGGAGATGTGGGCAGTGACTCTAAGGTCGTAACAGACTTTCAAGCACTACAAATAGTGGGAGAGGTTTGGAACAGGGATATAAAACTGGCCTGAGCTCAGGCTTGCAGGCTGAGAGCTGCCAGGCGCTGGACTCAGGTTATGAAAAAAAGCAGCTGCTCCACTGATCCATGTTGCTGAGGTGCTGGCTGAACCACAGACCCTGCCCATAGTCCGCCTGGCATGTTATGCAGGGAAGGAAAGTACTCAGCACTCTTGGTGCTGACCAAGCTGAGATAACCGGGAATGGCAACACTGTGGCAGACCAGGACCACGGATCTGACCTGGCTCAGTGACCTAAAGATTCTAAGATCTGTTCTCAGAGGAGCAGAGGTAATGAAGACAATCAGCAAATGTCCCCATCCCAGAATTTGACTCATTTAGCTGCTATCAATTTAGAAAAATTAAAAGTGTGCTTTACACAAATAAATATGTAGCTCGCTCTTTTGCTGCTTGCAGGTAATACATTAACTACTAATTAATGTAGTAATAAATGATAGTTTTAGTTGCTTATGTAATATATGATTTTAAATCCTTGCAAATTGCAACTCAACACTGAGAGCCCACATTTAGCACATTACCTCCCAATCTTGCCCAACTGCAAATTCTGAAGGACATGAGTCTCACTGGCCCCCCTCAGCACATGTGGACCAAGCAGTGACCTCAGTCATTGAGGAGGGCTCTGGAGTACAGCAGGGGAACAGATCTACAACGATGGCCCATCTTCCATCCCTGCTTCCCTACTCTAAGTGACTCCCACAAGACTTCTCCTCTGCATCTCTCAACAGAGTCAAGATCTGCGGAAACTTTTACCTTCACCTCTGAATACATGAGACCACTTCACTGGTTTTTCACTCTCAGCTGGCCCCATTCAGGGTTGCAGCCTTTGCTCTCTCACTCACCCTGCCTCACTGCTGACCCAGAGGCCTCTTGGGAAGCTCATCACAGTCAGGTGCATTACCAGACACAAAGTGAAACACGAAACACTGAGGAACAGGCAGGTGGGAAAAACCTGACTCATGCTGCACAGTGGCCCCCAGCAATGTGAGCTTAGAGAGCTGGGCAGAGAGTTCCCTGCCTTAGTGGCTGCCTAAGGTCAAAGAATTATTTCCACTGTCCTTGTGTTGTAGAGTCAGGTTTAGTGCTTTGTTTAATGTGTAGATGTTCGCCATCTAGTGGAGGATTTTTACCATAGCAGTCTATTAATTTTGGTATCCTAAGACCATAACTGAATTTTTTCATCTGTATTCATGAGCTGATCTTATTCTATCAATTGCCAGCCAAAACTCCATAGAAAATCAAATCATTCATCTTTATAAATCATCCTAACACAAAGGAAAAAGTGCAGTAGTTCACTTAGAGAACTAAAGAGATAACAACCATAGGACAGTGACCATAAAATGTGTAAAACACATGATACTATATATATTTAGTTTTGGCAAAGACCACGAGTAACTGAAGACCCTGAGAAAATGTCTCTAGACTAAAGAATCCTGGCACAGATTTTTTAAGGCCAGCCCATCCTTCCTATCTCAGAGCCCCTTCCAGAGCAGCCTGTGAGAACACAGCAGCTCCCCTGCTTGCACACTGAGCAGTGTTGAGTGGTTGCAACTGTGGCAGCTGAGACATGAGAAGGCTGCAGCTGTAATAGGCTCTCACTACAACTGCTTCAGGGTGATGGTTGTTCTGAAATAGTGAGCAAATTCTGCTAAGAGCTTGTGACTATCAGCTTTTGGGGATCATGCAGAGAATCATTAGAGGGTGCACAGCAGGGTCTCTAGGTCCTGAGAATAGGGAAAATTCTCTGTCATGCAGTGACCAGGACCACATGTCTGCTGAATATATCATTATAGTTTCCAGCCTTAAGAGAAGAAAGTCTCCCAAAGATCTGATTCTTATATTGCTGGTTTATTTTTATATTGTCTACGAGACCAAAAAAAAAAAAATTGTCAGCAAAGTTTTAATGAATTAAGTGAAATACCTTTGTGTATGACAGTCCTATGAGATTTTTCCCTCAGTCCTTGCAGGGTGACTTCAGTGGTCATAGCATTTAGAACACGTGGTGAGTGATCACAGAGACCTTCGCTGGTCAACGGATAGACAATCTCATATCTCCAGATATTGTATCCAGAGCTTGAATTCATTCCTGTGCAATGGTTTCAGAGTCTATTATAATTAATTTCAGTTACATGAATATTCTATCCTGCACTTCGGATTGTTACAAAGGAAGCCAGTTTGACTAGTGTGACACAAGATGTTGTGTGAACCGCCATTTTCAAGGACCTTACTCAGAGACCTGGGAGGGCAGTTGTTAAGTAGCATAGCTAATTTCTACCTCTGTGACACACTGTTGTGGTTTGTGGTCCTAAGTTAATGATTTTCATCAGGAGTTGATCATTTTAGCTGCAAGTAATTATTGGTTTATTCAGATAAGATTTCATTTAGTTAATATTTGACTGTAAACAAAAAGAGAAAGTCCATTAACTTATTTACTAACACTTATTAGTTACCACATTCTTGCCATGTTTCTGTGCTTGACATGTTTTGGAACATATCTTTGTTAATAGCAACCACTGAAAATGCCAATGGTAAAACAAAAGATATTAAATTTACTGATAGAACTGTGGGGGGGGGAGGACCAGTGGTGGCTGAAAAGATAAGAAGTATAAAATATAAATAACCTTTATTTTGACAATGCAGGGAGAGACACCCCCCATCCCCTGGGGTGTGGCATCTCTACCCCAGGGCCAGCGATCTCTCCGTGGAACACATGGAGTGAGGCACATAAGTAGTCTTGGCCTGGGGTGGAACCTAAGGGGGCATTATGGATGCACAGGTAGCCCATTGGTCTTAGTTTGGCACCAGAGGCAATTTCTAAGGGTGGGGGGAGATAGGAGCTTCCTGGCTTTACCAGCTACAGTATCTGGCCTGGGCCAAAACCCTTTCACATCCCATCATATGATTATTATGAAAAGGGGCAAAAATTTCTCTCTTTAATAACTTCCTGCTGGCTGAGGGTGTTTTACTGGGGTCTAGGGGAGTCGACACGATGATGGTTGATGTCTAGGTAGAAGCTGGTGTCAGGTGTTTTAGCCAGGACAACTTCACTGGTGAATGTACACATGTTAGACTGAAAAAAAAAAACAAAGATACAAGATGTTATGAAGAGACATGGCACTGTCATAATTAAGGACCCATGTGAGGTATAGGGAAAGGTGTCTTTGATTTAGACATGTCATTCTATCAGGATGATGTTGAGGTAGGATCATTTCCATGGTAAGGCAGAATTCTGAAAATTAAACATGGGATTAGGAAGTTATGAGAGGTGCTTATTCCCCCATATGAAAGCATAAAAGTTTAAAGGTAGGTCGGTAAGGCTTGTCTCTGGTATATGTGACATTGGAGTCTGTAGGCAATACTGTTAACGAGTCCTGCTGTAAAATTGATCATTAATAGAATGTAAGAAATTAGGAACCAAAGTAGATAACAAAACATGACAACCTGTGAGTCATGGCCGTGAGGCCTTGGTAAGGCAGAGATGAGTATGAAAAGGATGGTTAGATCTAGGGCCTGAATGATGTGAAAACAGAATGGCAGTCTAGCAACTTTGATTGCTTTTGAGGTTAACAAGAATATCAGGTATGGGTCGCTGTAACCTGG